CTTCCCCAGGGCGGGTGGCGCAGGCCAGGGGCCGCCTCAGGAGGGGACGGCCGGGGCGTCGGCCTCCGACCTCAGGGCCTGATGGGCTCCGGCAAGCTTGCCTTTCCCTTACACGATAGCTCCTTGTCGCTCGTTTGACCGTTTGCGTTTGATATAACAACAATTAGATTAATTATAAGCTATGTTCTCACATCTCCCGAGGCCAGACGCAGGACACGCTGATGGTCTGGTGAGAGGTACTGAGAATTTCAGAAGCTTACCCCGTCCCTTGCACTGGTGTCCAAATATACTCGGCCTTCACCTCCATTCAACTATGCTGCTTTCCTTCAGTTACCATCAGATTAAAGTAGAGAAGCGTTAAAGTCCACATAGCGTAAGGGAAAAGACCCTGGGATACGCCATCGCACAGGCAGGGGAGCGCGTTATGAAGGGACGTGGCACATTCAGTGCCATGTCATGTAGGAGCTGTGCCTTCATAGGTAATGGCGCGCGTGCGAGCAAGCCGGTATGCGCTCTCTCTCTGGACCTTGAATCATGTTCCTCCTGGTCTCAGGTAACACAGGAATTTCCTGACTAATTGCACATTCAACATTGATTTAAGTAGATCCATTATCTTGTCTAGAAATGAAAACAAAACAATCTAATAATGGAATTGGTTTAAAATTGTCATGATTAATGCAGGAGAACCTTGCACCTGACAAGGTCAGGGTCTGCATTTCTTTTTTTTAAATTACTATTTTATACCTTTCAGTAACATCAGGCTGAAATTTATCCTTGTGAACAGGGAAATTTGGCACAGCTGTGACCTAGACCATATTTTTAGTATTTTATCATTTTGAAGGTAGAAGTCATTTAAATATCCATTAAAAAGCTCTAAGGAAACCAAGGAAGCATAAAGAGGGAAACGATGCCAAAGGTAGAATTAGCTGCAAGAAAAACAAACTATCCAAACACTACTAACGTGTGCATGTACCCAAGTACCGTAGTATGAGATTTCTCAGCCAAGAGCAAGGAATAGAAAGAATTTATGTTAAAAACAGTAACAACTTCCTATGATGAAATCAGAAAATAGTTTCAGAATGAAATTTTGGAGGAAAATCTCTTAGCCAGTATTAATAAATTGAATCAGGGTAAGAGTAAGGTCTTTTACATTCCTGGTGCATTCCAGGTATTCAATTACTGCACCCAAAGTGTAGCTTGGTCAAATAGTAAGCAAAGAAGAAAGAAGTGCCAAGGAAACACTTGATAAACACAACAGAAAAGCACTGCGAAGTGCTGCAACCTCTCTGCATTAGCGACATCTGTGTAAATACCACAGAACAGCTTTCCAGGTGAGTATTTCCTCACGTAAGGTGGCTTCTGAAGAAGCAGGAGCATGCAGAGCACAAGGTGAGAATGAGAAGTAATTTTCTTCTGCATTTAGGTAACATTGATATATTTGTATCAGGGAATCAAGAGATCACTGGGATGCCAGTAGACCAATAAATTAGGCTAATTTTAAACTTCACAGCAAAATTTACTAGACTGGCATTCATTAACCCAATTGTGCTAAGAGTTGGTGCTTACACCTTGCTAACCATTACCTCTATGCATTCATTTTTACATATTACCAGTGGTTAGCACAGATTCAAAGGAGTCAGTCCTTACAGCTATGTCCCACCTTAGCTGAGAGCACACAGTACCATGGAGTGATGCCTCCTCATTGGCGCCGATGGCTCCACTCCTCGGTGTCTCCAGGGCCGGGTGCAGGAACTCTGCTGCAGGGAACCAGAACCAAAGCAGGCAACCTGCTTTCTGCCCCCTCCCACAGAGTTGGGATCTTGCCCTTTTATAAGACAGTGCAATCTCTAGCTGCGTTCCCAGGCCACTGCAGGTGCCTTATTCAGCTGTTGGGCTGGTTTTTTATTTTGCTTTGCTGCTGTTTGCTTGCTTAAAGCGAAAGCAGTCTGTTCCCAGCTCTCAAGGCTATGCTTTGCCAAAGACCAGTCACTGACCATCTGTGAGTTGTTTTTGCTGCGGTGGCCTCTGCTTTCAACTTGTGCCCGTGTTTCCAAGGCCTCTGTTACATCCCACACTTAAGCGGCACCTCATAACAAGCGACAGCTGGTATCAAGCTCTGGTTTGCACAAGTTCTCATAAAAAGTTGGTAAGCCCAACAGGCTCACACAGCCAAAGGCCAGGGGCCTTTTACTAGCGCTAGAACTTTCACAGGGCTGCTGGGCACACAAACGCACACACAGTTACAACACGCCATGGTGCTTATGCCCTGGTTCTGAACAAGGTGACAGCAGTCTGCTTTGTGGCCTCTGTCCTCATGGGAGCAACGGGACACTGCTGTAGCTATGGCAAGGGGGAAGGAATAGCTCCACCTGGTGTACCAACAAATAACTGATTTTACTACTTACTGTTTTACTTAACTAGTGCAGCATTAAATGCTTCAGAGTATGGTGAAGTACCAGCACAGTTTAGGATCTTCAGAGAACAAGCAAAGGTAATAAATGCCCGAGTACAGTGGAGATGATCAAGTCTCCATCATGAAAGTAATATAACAATCATATTAACATCAGGCTTATGATTAGCTTCCATAAGAAGCTGTTAGTTTATTATCTCCTATTTTTCAAAAGCCTGGGAGGAAACCTATTGCTGTAGAGAACCAAAATACCCTGCCAAAAACAAGCTAATACAATGCATAACACGAATAATGCATTCTTCATCAACAGTGGCAGATTAAATATAGTTTCAGGTAAATTCTTGGATCTCTCAGAAGAATCTTTACGCCAGTGATGCAAAGCTGCAACCTCTTGTCTGAGAAGCAAAGGCCCAACCTTCTTTTCTCTTATTAAACATGCTACTTCCTAATTTAATATGACACTTTTCATCTATATGTGTTTTCATATGATGCTTTTATCTATATTTGTGTTTTGACCCATTTTGAAAAAAACAGTCTAAAAAACCCCAAAGGTTAGAAATAACTTTATTACAAAAATAATGTAAAAATATTTATCTGATTCATGAACAATGAAAATATATTACAAAAAATTTATTCGCTAGAAAACAAGGAAAAGTGCATTGTGGTATGTGAATTTGCTTAAGTTTGCATAATGTTTTTTAGTGTATATATTAATAATCTTCAAAGATCTTGTTGAATATCATTCAGTGCATGTGTAAGTCGTCTTATTTTATTTTCCATGGCTTTTTTATTGTTTGCTGTTTCCTGGAGAAGCTGCCGCATTTCTTCTTCAACATAGTAAACCTGGAAGAGCATATAAACATCAAATGCTTTCCCTTAATATACCTAAATCCATATAATCTTGGCAAATTTTAACACTTGAGTTGTATTCTTATGTTTAAATCAGCAATGCACTACTTTTGACAGTGGATGCAGTAGCATAATTTTTCTTTAAAAAGTATAATTTGCTAAGGGATACCGAGCAATGTATCAAAACCAAAATACCTACTACACAGATACAGCACCAGTTGTCCCACTAAGGAAGAATGCAGCATATGACAGGAATGGTGACTGTTAACACTGGCATACGTGAGTTAAATGGATTATCTGGCATAATCATCATTATTCTCACCTGTATAGGTAAAGAAGTGTTTAGCTATCAGCTCTAACAGCTACATAGCTACACGGAACTTTGAATACAGAATCTTATGATGGTCCATACAGTTCTAGAGATTTTCTTGCTGTGCAAAGATTGAGTACTAAACCAGAGATCAACGAGACAAACAGGTGATTTCCAAGCACCACTGTTATAGCAGCTGTAGAATAAAAATGCAAATACGAAACATAAATTTAGTATTAAAATTACTTTTTCATTTGCTGCTTCAATTTGTTTTTCCTTTTCATTTGCCAGCTGCAATAGTTCTCCCTGATGAGCTGCCAACATTGACTCAAGTTGTTTTCTAAAAGCATCATCCATTTCATGAAGCTTTTCCACAGCAATCCTAAAAAATGATAAATAAAAAAAAAATCACACTCTTGCAAACAACTGAAGTATTTTGTTTCACCCAATTCTGCCTTCGATAATGTTTTAATAACAGAGGCACAAAGACAATTATTTCAGTATCTAGCATCAGAAGATGTCCTGTTTTCTCAAGTACATGTTTAGTTTTATGCACCATGTTTATGCCTTCTGGCATTCCTCTTAGGAGAAGCATTTAATCACTAGCAAAGAATATGAAGATTCAGGCTTGTGACTGTCAACATGGATAAGAACTCCACCTGTTTTCAAACATCTACTTATCATGCTTTTGCTTCCTGAGAAGTCAATGACTGAACTATGCAATCCTGTAAACAGCCTGTAAGCCTGTGTCTCACAAAAACAGAAAAGCGTTGCTTCACAGTAGTGATGCATTTCCTTGACTCCAAGCAAATTCTGCTCTTAGGGGATAATTCTAAAATATGCAGCAACAGAAAGCGAGCCAAATTATTCCACTATACAATTAATTTACACCAAAATTTTGAAACAAAACAGAATTATTTGCGACAAAGTTTCAGTTTCACTACTGATCTTCCACCCATTCCAAAACCTAGTACTATTGACTGTTTGAGGTTGTTTGGTTTTGTTTATTTTTTTCATCAAACTTGATCATCACGGTGGTTTTTGCCATTTCTTAATCAGATGACCTTCCTTAAAATAATAGCAAAAGTGTAATTAATCAAAGTGTTTAATTTAAAAATGTAAAGCAAAACCCCTTAGTCATATTAGCTTATCCATTCAGTAACAGTGTGGTTATCACTGCTAGTTAAATATGTGGTCTTACTAACTAGATAATCTTTTCTTAAGAATAGTTGGGAGGAAGGAAGAAAAAATAAGAGAAAGGAGCCAAAGAATAAAGTAAAAAAAACATACGAACAATCTGAGCTTATCGCATGCAGCAGTCTCCATAATGCCAGAACCATATGAAATAACTGAGCATCATCTATGTCCCTGACTATTTCCTGGGTTATGAGTATTTGTTTCTGTATCTTCTCATATTTACTATTAACTGCTCAAAAAAATTGACAAGAGAAAAAAATAAAAGGAATTAAAAACCTGTTGCTATTTGTATGGGAAGAGAATGACAGGTAACTTACAGTCTGTTTGTCACAGACTGAAATATTTATCAGTATTGTTGTGATAAGTATTAAGGATCTGTCCTCAGTTTCCTACACAGCACACAAGATACTGCATCATCCTGCACAGACATTAGTGAAGCACTGTGGCCTCTCTCGTAAGCCCAAATGGCAGCCACAGTTGCTTGGCTCGACCTGTGATTTGCAACCAATTTGCCCCTTGCATCCTGGTCACAAGCCAGAAGGTTGACAGGTTTGTGCTCAAAAGAAACTCTGCCATGGAGTGTGAGACAGCACCTCACGTGAGGCGCAAGCATCTTCACTGCATGACTCCAGCCAGCATGTGTGACAACTGTGTAAGAGTCCCTATCCTGTAAAGCATGACAATGAATTTCCTCACAGAGGTAAACCAAAAGCACTGTGGTGGAATGGGCATACTAGAGAGGAATGGGTGTAGGCTTCAGTTATTTTCAGAGAAAATGGGAACATAGCTAGGAAGTTTACTGGACGAAAGCTGTAACCGAATGCTAGTTCCACCAAGTCAGTCACCTGGATAGCAAGAATTACTTCTACGCATGCAGAATTTACAGCAACTGGGCTCACCAAGTAATTAAAAAGGTATTACACATTCTTTCAAACTTTTTTTAATATTTATTAGGAGTGCAACTCTATCCTAACTGAGCAGTCACAAAATAAGCTATTACAGTGTTCACCTCTGAGTTTGAAGACTTTTATTTCTCTCTTCAGTCAGCTTTTTCTCTTTGATATCAAAGCTCTCCTTCATTTGTTTAACCTGCACCTCCAGCTGGCTTAATAGCTCTCCTTTACCTTGCCACTTCTTTTTCAGTGCACTGAAAATAAAATGCATATATTTACAGTGAATGTAGGTACCATTTCTTAGCAGGGCAGAAGAAAAGTTTTCCATGCTTCCATTTTTCCACATTTCTGTGGGTTTTAATAGCAAGCAAGTATTCTCTGAACACAGAATAACTTCAGAGCAGTGTTGCATGCTATTATGATCCCAAAGAATTACTGCCACTTGTATCACCTGTGTGCTTTCTTAATGTCATCAAGTTCTACTTCTTTTTCTTCTAGCAGTTGCTTTAATTCCTCTTTTCTTTCATTTTGCCTTTCTAATTTTTCCATTAGCTCTTCAAATTCAGCAGCTTTTTCATCCAACCGTACTTGAAAAAATTTCTGAGATTCCAGATTTTCTTCGTGCTGTTTTCTGATTTGTTTATCTTTTTCCTGTAAGCCCTTTAGAAAATAAATATTTTAGAACACAAACTCCCTTAATTTTAACTTTGTTACCCTTTAAGAGTATCTGTTTAGTCTATGCTAGAATAAAGCAAAAATGTGCAAGTTTACTCTTCTAAACATATTACATGATAAATACTAAAAAGTGATAGCCAGTTAAATAATCATCTTCTGAAAGAAGTCAGAACTAAAAAAATCCAAAACCACAAAACATAAATCTGAAATTGAAAGCAAGTTAAGAAAAAGAGTGATTTAAAACTCTAATACAAGACCACACAAATGACTGAGCTCAAATTCTGTTACATGACTACATAGTTTGAGTAATGCATCTAACCTTGGCTGATATAACATGCTATAAACCTTTGCTCCGATTAATAAGCTTAAGCCTCCAAATTAGATGAATGGAATTAATAGAACAAAACATAGTAGCTCTGCTGGTGAAATATAAATTTACAAGAACAGAATAAAGAAAAAATATTTACATTGTAAAATAAACCTGAAGCAAGCTTTAATTTTTTTTCTCCTTTTGTTTTAAACACACAGGAAGAATTATGCTATCCTAGGTTTTGCTCTCTCAAAATCATTATCAAGAAT